TGGTCTATCCGGGCTGAAACTAAGGACTACACCTGGGAATTCCCTTGTAAATAATAAATAACACTTAAATAAATGATTGTGTAATATGTTGTGACAAATATTTCTTTCATACACCGACTTATTTCCCGAGCAGAGAAGCCAGCTTTAAACTTGTGATGCTTTAGTAGAGAGAGAGAGAATTTCACCGGTGATGATTTAATGTGTTATTTTGTCAATGAGCTCTGTGGGCAGATATATGAAACCACAACACGAAGCTGAGAGTGGCAGAAGAATCTGACATGTTTGCTCAGATGTGTCATCCATCACTCCCCCAAAAAATGCATTTCACTTTTGAAGTGAATAGTTAAGCAGAATGAGGTCACAGCGAAAACCCACTGAAAAGCAAAAATATTTAAATAATGCCAGCTGAAGTGCAGTTCGACAGTGATATCAAAGTCAAAATGTAGCAACAATTACCAGTTCAATTAGGAGGGTGGAAAAGACTGACTTTGACAGCAAACGGGGAGATAATCCTTCTTTTAGTCGGATGCTAGACAATGGTAATTTTTCTTCAGATACGGTAGATCAGTGGTTCCCAACCACTTATGTTTGACGTGCCCCCATAGCACTGTCACATCAACTCAAGCACCTGTTTATTGGTACGTTCAGACAACTATTTGAACCTCTACTTTCAACCACTTACCAGTTGAACACCTTTAGATTTCATTTTAACAGTTTATATTTTAGCATTTTTAGCTATTTGGACCATCTGTCCACTGGCTATTTATCCATCCGTCCATCCATCATCTATACACCGCTTAATCCTCACTAGGGTCGTGGGGGGCTGGAGCCTATCCCAGCCGACTTAGGGTGAAGGCAGGGGACACCCTGGACAGGTCGCCAGTCTATCACAGGGCCACACTTAGAGACAGACAACCAAGCACACTCACATTCACACCTACGGACAATTTAGAATCACCAATTAACCTCAACATGTTTTTGGACTGTGGGAGGAAGCCTGAGAACCCAGAGAGAACCCACGCTGCACGAGGAGAACATGGAGACTCCATGCAGAAAGATTCCGGGACGCGAACTGGCAACCTTCTTGCTGCGAGGCAACAGTGCTACCAACTGCGCCACCCTGCAGCCCGCTATATATCGTTTTCTTTCTAATAACCATGTAGACTCCATTGATCAGCCACAACATTACTGACAGGGGAAGTGAACAACACTGATCATTACACCACAACGTAGCGTCCTGCTGGGTAACCTTGGTTCTAGCATTCATCAGGATCTTACTTTAACACATAGCACCCACCCAAACATTGTTCCAGACCACCTCCTCGTTGTTCCCTCACTGTAACAGCGATCCCCAGTGGCACTTGCCTCCTCCCAATGCGTCCCATCACTCCTCAGAAGCTGTTCAGGAACTTCTCGAGGTCATGACAAAGAGCCCAAGGCATTAATCCCACATCTCAATCCATCCAAGCAGCCCCAGGATGTTGCAGAACAGGTGTGATGCTGCAATCTACAGGAACCAAAGAATCTGCTGCAAACTTTGTATTGTCGAACACCACAGGACACCATCAGAGGTCCTGTGTTTCTGGGTCAGAGCTGCCTTAGTGGCATAAGGGAGATCTACATAATGTTGAGAAAGTGGTTGAATTGTTGTTGCTGATTGGCGCACTCATCTACTACCTTTAGTGAACTATACAGGCTACAGTTTCTACTATCATTGACAATTTATCCATTACTTTCAACTAATAGATTGATATTTCATTAATACACAGTCAAGACAATTACAGATCTTAACTGTGAACACAAAAATGTTAAAACCCTAAAAAACTAATTTTACTGAGATAGGCTACACGTGATACATAAATACACAATAATAACACATTGTAAAGCACTTTGACTACCTCTAAGGTAGAAAAGCACTACATAAGTACAGACCAGATACCATTTACAATATGCAATGTGTGACTTGTAATATATGTTGAAAAATCTGTAGATCTTAATGAGTGCAGCAGTGGACAAATTGTGCTCTCTGGACGCCTGCTAATTAGTTGCACATACTCACTACGGAGTCATAATAAAATCATAATTTGTATCTTTTCCGTGTAACTGTGCAACTTCACAGTCTTTCTATGCGCCTCTTGGCAATTGCGGAGGCCACCCTCGGGTACTTATTTTCTTGGTCGGGAATAACTGCAGTAGACGATTCTGATTACAAGTCCCACCTGATAAAACCTTTACAGTCACAAAATATACCGCATTAAACACGAATAGAACTTTCATTCAAAGTACTGTAGCTGGCAGTGCAGACGTCCTACCTGGCTGAGAAGAAAGCGCACTAATTTCTAGGCCTCGAGAGGTTCATCCACTTGGCACGTACTACAAAATTAAAGAAGATAATTGTTATCTGAGGTGGATCTTTGACCTCGCAAAGTACAGCTACCACAAGGGATCTCCAGTGAAAGTACTGTGATGTTTCCCCAACTACAGCCAGCGGGATTAGATCCAGGTTTGTGTTTACTGTAAGGGGGGATTTTTGCTTGGCCAGGATGGCGGCTGGAGACGGATCCCCAAATACTGTGAACAGATTCCAGCCCTCCTATGCTGCTGTGGGCTGCTGCTGCTGCTGTCTTTTATGGCAGATTCCTTTGAGGCAGGAGTATCTGAGGGAGACTGCAGAGAGGCACTGCTCAATGAGCAATTTATATGTTCTCAACAAAGCTTCTTCTTTAGACCCCGAAGGCAGGTCTTAATTGTTAGACGTGATATCTCCACTCTCCCTCTCCTCTTTCTTTGACTGTTTTCTTCTCCCTCCTCCCACCCGCCCTCCCTCCAGCTATTAGGAATTGGATTTGGAGCAGAACGATCCATTTAGTCTCTCCCCTCCATCTCTATCCCTCTCTCCCTGCTTCCACACCTCCTCTGTAGGCTTCTCTCATCAAAGCCCAGGCTTAATCTGTCTATTTTTACCTGAAGGAATGAAAGGAAGGGATGAGGTAATGCTTTTCCTGTCCATCAGGTGGGCAGCGGTGCATGGGTTCTCTGCTGTGTATAGCACAGGGAGGTAGCACCCCCATGTGGACTGTGAGGAGAAGATTCATTATGAAAGCAATACGATCAGTGAGCACGGCCTTCTCGTTTACTGTTATGCCCCCAAAATTGATCACAGGAAAACACAAAGTCCTTGAGAGAAGATAATACGAAGAGATTACAGACAGAGAGGGAATGCAGCAGTGGGAAGAAATCCATTAGTAAGAGCTTCATGACAAGCGTGAACCACTAGTTTGACTCATATAAACACAGTCGACCAGTTTCAGAGAAGTCAAACCGCGTCGAGGTGGATGTGTGAAAGCAAGGCTCCACCCAGTGGACGAACACAGTAAGTGACGACAAGAAAATTCAATTCACTTTATTTGTCAATGAAAAAAGATTGAATTTCGGCCTTTGTGAAATATAACAGGAACTTTGCAGTCATGAGGTACAAAATGTGTCAGTCCAACATTAAACCAGCGGAGAAACAGATGCAGACTTAAGAAAGTAAAGATGTGTTATCTATTTATTCATTTGAAAACTGAGATTTGCTTTTCTAGAACGGCCAAGAAGTTGTTCCCGCCTGTGCTTTTCTTTTTTTTTAGGAAAAGTAGGTCACGTTGGAATTGCCTAACTTGCAGGTGTAGAAAGTTTTCTAGTCAAACGATACAAACAACTTTTACATTATTCATCAAACTACATGAACAAATGGTTGAAATTCTTGAAAATACTGATAAAAATATAAAGTCACTAGAAGGCAGAAGAGTCAGTTTGGAGCCCATGATTTAATAAAGCCCCCCAGGAAAGGAGGTGGGTAGTTGTAGTTGTAGGAAGGCAAGAGTCAGACTGACACGTCTTTGGTCCAGCTGTTGGGATTAGAAGTAAAAGCACTCAACTGCCTTTATTTTTTAAGATATGTCTCCTGTCTTGGTGAACATCTGAGGGAGATTAAGAGGTTTAATAACCTGTTAGAAGCTTCCAGGTCTCCACATAAACTCTAACAACTAAAAATTTCAGCATCCTAATGCAAGTAGATTATTGGTAAATGCATAGAGCTTTAAGCTGTGTATTTTTACATCACTTGGACACCGTAGACACATTTTTGCTAACCCATGTACATAAAGCATCTAATATTTTCTGCATTCCATTTCACATTTATGTAAAACAACAGCGACTGTCATGTGAGTTGACAGCATGTCATCATTTGAACGTCAGAAAAGAAAAAAAAAAACACTGTTTGCACTTTCAGTGTTCCTTTGTTTAAAGCAACAATTAAGTCCTATTGTGAGGTAAGAATGGTTTTCCTCTTGGTAACTTTTAGCACAGGATCCTGGGACATTTGATAAATGCCGGCCTCTTAGTCGCTTTTTTTTTTTTTTGCTTAGTAGCCCTCTAAACCACAAAACCCGCCAGCGGGTTTGAAAGGCATGTTTTTGTTTTAAAAATTGCCCAAATTACACCAATTATCAGAAACAGTAAAAACAGAAATGAGTCAGCTTTTTACCTTTCCAACAGTCCTTGAACTGCCTATCTGTGACTTGCTATTCCATCAGGAGTCGAGGCCTAATATTTCGATATTGCATCAAAATCATAGCATAAGACATGCACCTCATTGTGCAGCTGGGACGTCCACAGTTAATCAGCTGTGGAAATCAGTCATACGACAAAGAAATTCTGTGAGTGTTCAGTAGAAGTGGGTGGAACTTCAGGCTGCGTTTACACAGAGCAGAGGAGAGAAGTAATAAATATGTCAATAGTTAAATATCTATCTGTTATGTCAGCCAGCAGTTTTCCTAGAGTTGCTGGTGGGCGACATCCATCCATTATCTATACACCGCTTAATCCTCACTAGGGTTAACTCAGGGTGAAGGCAGGGGACACCCTGGACAGGTCACCAGTCTATCACAGGGCTACACTTAAGACAGACAACCAAGCACACTCACATTCACACCTACGGACAATTTAGAATCACCAATTAACCTCAACATGTTTTTGAACTGTGGGAAGAAGCCACGCTGCACCGGGATGTGAACCAGCGACCTTCTATCTGTGAGCCGCCGTGCAGCGGTGGGCAACATGTACAGAAGAATGCTGTATTCAACCAGTTCTTTTTTTTCCCTTTTCTGACTTATGGCATTAAAACTTTGTTGTAGTGTTTAGAAGACATTTCCTAGTTCTCTCTACTTCTAGTCACGGTTGTACCGTTTCCATGGAGGTGCAGGACTCACTCACAGCAACACAAAACACCCAGAAACTGTTGTACCTTCGTCTGTGGTAGCTTAAGTAAAATAATTTGGTAAGATAACATTTTAAACTTGTCACTTAATGGCAGAATGTCTAATATCCCGATTATTTTTTACATGAAATAAAGAGTTCTTTGTCTTTTTGTAATAGACTGAAGAGCAGCATGAAAGGGCAATAGGCTATTGTCCATTTGTCTGAGATAACAACAGTGCTAACCTTCAACACAAATTCTCCCACAAGGATAAAATATACCTTAATTTAAATATCTGCATTTGATACATAAGAAAGTCAACTTTAAATAAATATTTCTAGAGCATTAAAAACAGCTTCCTTGATATCATAATGAAACTAAAAGAAAAAAAAATCTAAAGAGAATTAAGATAAGAGATGGAGTACAGATTCTTACCTTTCCTAACAACTTTGTTCTTTCTCTACCTGCAACTTAAAGGCACCGAGGTGGCAGGCAAGCCGCAGCATCTGCTGCCGGGTAGGATAGAGAACGTAAATAGCGGGTAAGTCTGTCGCTCAGTTATCTTTATTCTTCTCTTGGTTGTTGCCGTTGCAGCGCGTTTCTCTGGCGACGCAGAATTTTCGTGGGTGATCTTTAAAATCGAGGCATTCCAGGGCAAAGTTTCGAAACTTCTGTATAAAATTCTGAAGCTCAGCTGGGAAAAGAGACACAAGAGAGTGAGATAAGTGTTAGATGTACGTTTTTATAGTTTACAAGGCACCAGAACAAAGCTCTCTCTTCAGTTTGAGGCTGCACTGTGTAGCAAAAATAATGCAATTACTTTTTTTTGTTAAGAGGAATTAGTATAATTATGATAATTCACATTACAGGTAAGACTGAAAGATTCCATTTGTCTATAAACTGCATTTAGTATTTTGTGCTAATATTAAAATGAAAAGCTGCTGTAATAGGACAATAAACAAGCATACACAACAGCTTTGACAGTTCCTAGAAAAGGCAGATAAACATCTCTTCCAAGAGATGTCATTCGTCCTTAGCAATTAAAAATTAAATTATTTAAATTAAATTAAATTAAATTAAATTAAATTAAATTAAATTAAATTGAAATTTAAATTGAAATTAAATTATTAAAAATTTACTTACTTTACTTTTACAATATTGAATTTCCCTTCTGGGATAAATAAAGTATTTTTCATTTCATTTCATTTTCATTTCATTTCATTTCATTCATTTCAATAAGGCCACGAAGAAATCAAATGCAACAGTGACAGCATGCTGCCAATCATCTCTAACGTTTTTACAATGGTACACTGGATTATTTGACAATTCTGTACAAATTTTTGCAGGGTTTTACCGTAAGAGATCCTTCCTGTGTCAGGTCCTTCCAGCACTAAAAACATTCCTGAGAGGTCCACTTCTTTCACTCCTAGCATTATTTCAAAGACGACCGCCAGGTCCTCCTCTAGGATTTCCCCAGTCTCCTCACTCTCATACATCTGTGCAAAGACATGTGGTTTTAGTGTGCTGTTATAATACGACAACAGACCAGAGCGAGTGGTAAAAGTGCTCACCTTGAAGGCTAATTTGAGGGTTTCCATTGGCTTCAAAGGTCGATGAACGACAGACAGAGCAGTAACGTAGTGTCTGATGTCTATCTGTCCAGCTCCATGCTGGGAACAAAACAAGCTTAGTGAGCAAAAGCAGCAAAGCAACAAACCTGATCTAATATAAAAATGTCACTTGCAGCAGAACTTGTCACTGCTTGCCACATGAAAGCATGTTCACTCGAGTTGACAGGAATTTTAATTTTATTTAACAGTAGAGGAATTTGAACTGCCTTCTGTCACAATAAGATGCTCACAGTACAAGTAAGGCTGCTAAAAGAAGACTAAAAAAACAGATTGACCTCATTCATATGCATTGTCTGTCAGCTAGACATGCTAAACTCTACTCAGCTCATCTACATGTTGTGGGGTTCCTGTGGTGCACGTAGGAAGTGTTTACTGCTCTTCAGCACTCATGTGGAAGAAAAAAAAACACTCTCATCCTAAATAAACAAAACCTCATTCACTTGTTAACTTCAAGTGATGAGGAATTAAAGTAACTTCTGCAGAATTACTGTTAAAATATTTAATATGCATACAGCAAGCGTACTGAATGCCAACAATACGTATTATTATTATTAAATTTAGGCAGCAAGAGGCTCCAAACAGGAAGTAATCATTACCACGGATGAAACTGATATTGAAAACAAGTTTTTTTGTTTTTTTAAAGCTCGAGCAAATTCACACTTGTTGGCATGAACCCTCCTATTACCTTCAAATTTACTGACATCTTTTATCCTAGGGTTAAATTTGACCCCAGCAATTTACACCTCCAGAAACTATCATAATTAAAATTGTTACCCAAGTTTATGTGTATATAGCCCTTTAAAAAAAAATGAAACAAATTATGACTAATAAAGACTTATTTAGAGACGTTATACATGAATGGGGTCAAACTGACCCCAAAGATAATAGGAGGGTAAATGTGCAGCAAATTCTTGTGTGGGGAGTTGACCGGGCATTGTCAAAGCACACAAAACCTCAGACAAAGATAGGAAACCAGAAGCTGCAGTTAAGACCTTTGTGTGTTTGGCTATAGTCGCACCGTGTGTCCTTCCTAAGAACTAAACCTGTTTTAAGCTGGAGGGACGGAGAAACTCAAACTCTGCTTACATAATCGAATAAAGCAAACAATAAGTTTATTAAATACAGTCTGGAACTTTAAATCATAACAGGTTACAGGATCTGGAAGATTTCAAAGATGCACGAGTAGTAATCTTCTTGGATGGCATTTCTAAAATACGTGAACACTGCCAAAGTGTTACAGAAGGTCGCAAACATTATCAAACACAACACTTCAGCTATTATGAATATCTGGTAACTGCTACATTCCTCTCATATTAGAACCACTGTGGCCTCCCAGTCCATCAGAATGTTTCATCCATCACAGGTGGAATAAAATTCTTACTCCTACATGCTGCTATTAAATCTATTCCTTGCTAAACTTCGGCTTGATGATTGTTAATCATGATTATATTGTGTGGCAAAGAAAGAAAATAGCACCCATGGGTCTAAAGTAGTTTAATTGTGTTTATTAGAACCTTAATAATTAATCTAACTTTGAAATTGACGGTCAAATATTTAATAAATTGCTCATCAGTATGAATAATCAATCAGACTTGAAGGAAAAGGAGCTGAATTTTTTTGATTCCATCTTCCAAATCTGAATATTTCCTGCTTTCTTTCCTCCTCAGTGACAGTAAACTAACTATCTTCAGGTTGTGGACAAAACAAGACATTTGAGGACCTCATCTTGGGTTCTGGCAACCACTGTTTGGCATTTTTCACCATCTTTTGACATTTTATAGACCAAACAACTCCCAATTACATTAAAAAATGAGCAACAGATTGATCAAAAAATGGACATAGTTGTTACTACGTGAAGCTTATTCTATTTTTGTATGTTACGAGAGAGTGCAGCTGTACCCATACTGTTTTAAAATCCTTGCCTGTCTAAAATTAGGTTTATCGTACCTTGCATTTCGTAGTGTTTACCTGATCAAAGAAGCTGTGGACTTGCTCAAGTGTGTCTGTGACTGGCAGGTTGAGGAACTGGGCAAAGTCGTCCAAACCCAGCGTGTCTCCCTGCAGCTTTCTGGCTCTCCTGGCCTGCTCTTCAAGCGCCTTGCCCGTGGTCCCTGCTCTCAGCCTGTTGAGACAGAGTGAAGCAGAGGAAGCTATAAAAAAAAAAATTACATCATGGATAAATGTGAGTTAGTCAAACTGGAAACCATATGTGGAAACCAGTAGCACTGTTTGGAACTGTCTCACTTTGGCATCCTGCTGCACGAAGTAAATTCGCAGTTATAAGCAGTAGTCGTTACATGTATTTAGTTTAAGTGCTGTTGTACAATTCTGAGGTACTTGTACTTTACTCGAGTATTTTCATTTCCTTCTCTTTTATACTTCTACTCCACTACATTCCCCTACATTATTTACTACCCTTATTCCTTATTTACATTGCAGACTCAAATTAATAATCCATCCATCCATTATCTATACACCGCTTAATCCTCACTAGGGTCATGGGGGGCTGGAGCCTATCCCAGCTGACTCAGGGTGAAGGCAGGAGACACCCTGGACAGGTCACCAGTCTATCACAGGGCTACACTTAGAGACAGACAACCAAGCACACTCACATTCACACCTACGGACAATCTAGAATCACCAATTAACCTCAACATGTTTTTGGACTGTGTGGGAGGAAGCCGGAGAACCCGGAGAGAACCCACGCTGCACGGGGAGAACATGCAAACTCCACGCAGAAAGATCCCGGGGCCTCCACCAGAACGCAAAGCAGCGACCTTCTTGCTGCGAGGCAACAGTGCTAACCACTGCACTACCCTGCAGCCCTCAAATTAATAGTCCAACAAAAATTCCAAATAATGACGTTGAAAATTGCTGAACACTTTTCTCACCATTCTGCAATGTGAGCACTTTATGCTACAAAGCATTTTGATGCTAAGTACAGTAATAAAAAATAAATAGTTAAATGTGTTTTACTCACATTACTTCTTTACTTAAATCTATGGTGCAGAGCGTTTGTCTCCTCCTTCTGGCAGTGAAAGTAATTACACAAACATTGACAACGTTTGTTTGTTTTCTAGACTGTAATCCTTCCTCAGAGCACTGACTTTCTTTTTTTGTCTGGAGCAGTAAAAGCTTTTCATGAAACGCTTCCCGGGTTTTTCCTCCGTACTCTTTGTTTTTGTCGTTACTTCCCTCTTCACTTCTGGCAAACCAATCTTCCACTACTTTGGCACCAGTCCAAGAATCTAGCCACAGACACCATTTTTAAAACGATTTCTGTATTAAAAGATACAGAAAGATTTCTCTGGTACTTTAATCAGGATTGTGTGTGAGCTTGTTTGGTTTAATGTGACATTTACATACATGTGTAAGTCTCCCTCTCCAGTTAATAGTTTTGTCAAATCAAATATAACACTGAATTGAAATAATTAAAAATAAAAAAATGATTTTTCTTTATAATGGAATGTTTCTATTAGCTACATTAGACCGCAAAATATGGTTAAAATAAATAACATGTTGGGCAAATTTTTGGAACACGGTGACATAAAAACTAAATCTTTCTGCATAAAATATTACAATTAAAAGAGTAAATAGATTTCAACAGAGACAGCTGGTGATAAAGTTTCTAGGCGTATTTATGCAGATGAAAGGAAGGAGGCTGAACCACGATTCTCCAGGTCAGAGAAGTTTTGAGGGAGAGATTTGCCACAGAAAGAATCCTGTTTAGAAATTTATGGGAGAATTCCGTAACGCCAAAGATGGCAGTTGTGCAACACATGTCCCACGTCTCTTCTAAAAAAAGGTTTTGTGTTTTGTAACAGATGAACCTGGAAGCATTTTGCTGCACTGACACAAGCACTATGTTGTGCAACCATGCACATGTGCAGCAGAAGCATAACCTGTGAGGACAAATGTTTGTGAAAGCTTGTGAAAGTGGTGGTGACTCTGTCCATAGAGTGTTTTTTTGTGTCCTGATGGCCAGTGGAATATGTTTATGTGTCTATTTGTGTCTGTAATTTCCATGTGTTCCTGCTGGTGCCTCTTGGGGCTGCAAGGTGGCTCGATGGTTAGCACCGTTGCCTCGCAGCGAGAAGGTGAGGACACCTGGGATCTTTCTGCGTCGAGTTTGCATGTTCTCCCCGTGCAGCGTGGGTTCTATCCAGGTTCTCCAGCTTCCTCCCAAAAACATGTTGAGGTTAATTGGTGATTCTAAATTGTCTGTAGGTGTGAATGTGAGTGTGCTTGGTTGTCTGTCTCTAAGTGTAGCCCTGCGATAGACTGGTGTATAGATAATGGATGGATGGATGGATGGTGCCTCTTGGCCAGGTCATGTTTGCAAATGAGAACTGGTTCTCAAACATTTTTACCTGGTAAAATAAAGGTCAAATAACGAAATAAAAATTGCAGTTATGGCTCTCTGTCCATTCATTTCAATATATGGAGGCGGCTGTCCACTGATGGCAAGGTTGGCGGTTCGATCCCCAGTTCCCCCCACATTGCCGACGTACCATTGGGAGCCCCAAATGGCTCCCAATGGCTCCCAATGGTAGATTAGCACCTTGCATGGCAGCTCTGTGGTGTATGAATGTATGTGTGAATGGTGAATGAGAAACATTGTAAAGTGCTTTGAGTGCTGTAGAATGTAGAAAAGCGCTATATAAGTGCAGACCATTTACCATTTACCAATATGGACTTGGCCTTTAGCCCAAAATAAACACCCGGGGGCATTGAGAAGATCGATGCTGAGGGGTGAGATGTGCTTATTGGGCGAATGCTCAGTAAATGATTCCAACTTTGATCCTATGGTTGCGCATGCTACACATTTAGGACTAACAACAAATATCTTATTAAGATAAGTGCTCTCAAAATGGAGCTAATTTGAAAAGAAGGCAATTAATCATCCCTGAGAAAAAAAAAAAGCATGCAGACAGCTGACTTTATAAAAACTCTTAAAAACAAAGCTACTAATTGCTCCTTTATAACACTTTCATCTGCTCTAATTAACCAAAAGGTTATACGATATGCTTACAAAACAATACAATGCAAATACAAGTATTAACCTTTTAGTGTATCATCTGGTTTTACAACCAGAAGACTGATATCTGTCAGTCTTGAGGAGAGCAGCCCTCCCTGTGTGTGTTTCAGCTCTGCCTCCAATAGGTGTCAGTGTTTATACGCCTTCATTGCCCCTCAAGCTTAAATCACACTCACCACCCAGTTCAACCAGTAGGTCCAGTCTCCCTCCACTCACCCTAAGCGGCAAATCAGCTGGTTGAACTCCAGCAAGCTGCTGTAGTCGTGTATCCGCAGTGGGCCCTGTGATAGGCTGATCTCACGGTCATCGAAGGACAGGTCTGTGAGTGGCAGCTCCAGCGCCCTACGGGGGGACAAAGGGAGCAATTTTATGAGGACCTAAATTTACATCTGGGAGTTAAGGGCATCCAAAGCGAGCACGATCCGATTAGAGGCGCTTGTGCAAATATGCAAATACATACACACTTACTTGGCCATGAGCTTTCTGACATTATTGGCAAACAGAGCCGGGTTCTTCTTCTCCTCCTCTGATGGAGTGTAAATAGGTAAGTACTAAGGAGGGACAGAGGGAGAGAATGTCAGCTCAGTCCTCTGGTCCTGTCACGAAACTGTATCCACAATATGATAAATACAGAATTATACATGTCAAGAAGGAAAGACAGATATAATGTTTGAAGATACTGTGACAAAAACAAATCTAATTTACAAACTTCTGACTGACTAAACTACTCACCTCAATCTCCATAGAATTATGAGGTTGGCACAAAGTGAGCCATAAGATCTTGAACCTGGAAAACAGAAGAGTCGGCTAAATGTGAAATGAAAAATAATATGATGAATGGAGACAAGACTGAACAGATGGTCCCGGAGATAACCGAGGTTCCCCTACAGCACCTTACCACGTTCCTTTCTAATGGAAAACAGGTCACTGGGGTTTAAAGCACATACTTAACAGAGGGCTGGCAGAAGTTATGAGTCTGCATGTGTGTGTGTGTGTGTTGTGTATATAAGAGTGTGTGAGGGAAAGACACTCACGCTCCGGGACCTTGCCACGTCCACGTAACAGTATCCTGTGGAAAGGACAGAGAAAAGAGGAAATGACTTGGAACGAGCACAGACACACCAGACAATATTACAAAACTCTTTGGAACTACTGTTTGTTTTTCTCCGTTGTGTGTTCCTGAAGAACAAATCACTGAAACACATTTTATATGACTGCTGATCAGTGCTTGAATACTGAGATGTGTATTGATTATGCTGAAGCACTTTTAAATCAGCATCCCACATCACACAATTTTTCTATCACTGGATTATACGCTGTATTTTGACGTCCACCCAGCAATTGGTTTCACTTACGGTTACTTCACTTGGATGTTTGACTTTGAGGTCCACTTCATTTCATGTGCTAACAGAAGAAGTTTCTCTGTGTATAATGCACATATGTATGAACATGATCTGGTGACATGTGAAGCAATCAGAGTCTAATATGCAAGTGTGATGTAATCTTCACTTTCATACAGTGAAAATGTGCTTCACAGTAGAAGACAAACCTCAAAGGTTAATGCTAGGTTTTTACCTCAGTTTGCACTGATTGCCCCAAGACAATGAAACACTGAGCAGGTTTGAAGATGCACTCTTACAAAGGCTACCACTGCGTATGCAAAGAACTCATAGTAAGCTGTTTGTTTCCTCCGCAGGAGCCGTGTGAAGTCTAATAAATGTCCTCAAATTACATCGCATGGGTCAAGAAAATAATCAAAGGGTGTGGTGTGAGAAAGAAGTTCCTCCACTGCTCGACACATCACCAACGTTGCAGAGACTGCACGCGACAGGTGTCTGTACAGATTTTTGCAACCACTCGTAAGTGTGCATTTATGATTTCACTGATCAAAGGATGAGCCAATGAGAGGTGGTTCTGTGGCTACAAACCAAAGACTAAACAGCAGACTTAACATTGGAAGAGTCCTCGAGACCAAAGACGACACATCAGGACGGGAGCACCATCAGCATCGACGTTCAGTTTTCTTTGACATTCACAGTTATTTCAGCTCCCACTGTCAGACTTTCAACACAGTGTTGAAGCATCTAAGGCAGGGGTCTCGAACTCCGGTCCTCGAGGGCCGCAATCCTGCAAGTTTTAGATGTTTCCTTCTTCCAACACACCTGATTCAAATGATCAGCTCATCATCAAGCTCTGCAGTAGCCTGATAACGATCCTGATCATGTGAATCAGGTGTGTTGGAAGAAGGAAACATCTAAAACTTGCAGGATTGCGGCCCTCGAGGACCGGAGTTCGAGACCCCTGATCTAAGGGAAAAAGATTTGACTCCCTGCAACTTCTTCCTCCCGAAAAGGAAGTTAAACAGTTGCCGTTCTGACACAGTGGAGGAGGTTCAGCGAGCATCACAGACTGAGAGAACAGGACTCCAAGCGTGGCAGAAAGGTGTCGGTGCACAAGGTGTGGTGGTCAAATTTAAATCAGAAACAGTTTTGCTGTTAACAGGTAGAGTCTCTGAACTTTTTGATCATACCTCATATTAAAGTCTGTGTTCCTCTGAAGTAAAAGTGGGAAAACTGCACATTAAATTGAGATTACATCACGTTTACAACAGGCCTGTGATATTCTTCTCTTCATGGTTCTGCACAGTCAGGACAGCCTGCTTTGATTTGACTAGAGTGTTTATTTCCATTTCCAGTTAAAGAAGGTCACCGTAGTTAAATGAACAGATGGAAAGAGGCGGAATGGAAACAAATCTGCTGTTGCAGAAATAAGACGTCTGGATGAGGAAAATACAAACTAAGGGCAAGTCACCCTGTTAGTGCAGTTTGTGCTCGCTTTGCTGCCTCGTGGTGCCACGTTGCCACGGAAGTAGGCAAAGTGATCAAAACAGGAGAAACTGTGACAAAAGCTTTCTAGGGAAGCAGACAAGGAAAACCAGGTAATAAGAAGTGCATAATTCATGAAAGAGTGAGAAGAGGTGCCGAGCGAGAGACATGACACCTGTGTGTGTGTGTGTGAGAGAGAAGATGGAGGGGATGAAATATCATCCCACTAGAACATGAAGTCATTCAACACAAGAGAAACACACGCCAGAGCAAAGAAAAGAAACCATTACATCACAGCCGTGTCAGTACGTATGGATGTGTGTACAAAGTGTAGGTGCAAATCCGGTTAAACTTGAAATATGTCCAGAGTTGCAGGTATGGAGGAGGCTTTAAAAAAAAGGATTAAAAGAAAGTAGAACTGGAGGAGGTGGGCAGGATGTCGGGTGTTTACCAGTTTGTTTGGGTAGCGTAGTATCACCGGCTGCACTGGGAGTCCTGGAATGAAAGCACCTGAGAAAGACGAGAGAAGAGGGAGGTGACGAGAGAATACTAGTAGAGGAAAACGAATCACGTGTACAAATAGAGTCAAAGAAACTGTGAAAATAGCAGCATTTGATCAATACTTTTTAATCAGTTCTACAATGTATATATTCTAATCAAAAACCACATTATTAATGCATCTTTATACATTCTTCCAGCAGATTTTAAGTGATTTGAACACAGCAGAGGGTATACGGGTTGAGATGAGTGACAAGCTCACAACCTCCAGATAACCTCCAGCACTGGCAGACAGCCTCTCTATCGAGACTCCACAATGTCATGTTGATGACAGGTGAGCTGATAAAAGCTAGCGACAGTATTTATCTCCGGACAAAGACCTATTCAAGCTATTGTGTAACGTTCGAACGGATTAGAACGGGGTAAGAATACGACACATAAGAATAAGACCTTAAGAGCACAATTACATTTTCTTTTTTGTTATTATTGCTAATTTGTTGGCAAATTGTCGCCTATTTACACATTCAAAAGACAAACAGCAACATTGGTATTCATTTAGAGTCATGGTTGTGCACACCTGATTAGGTCAGGGCACAATTTGTGGCCTTTTAGCGCCAACATACTCTAGTATGATCACCATCTTGTTACTAACTTCGTCAATTTGCAGTTTGTAATGGTGTGAGGAATGGCTACCTGCTGTGGAAGGAAGAGGCTGAATGGACAGTAGGTGTATTAGAGCCTTTGTGACAAAAACAGCTGTATGGAGTTGGGTTGGGTTAGGTTATAGTTATGGTTATAGTTATGGTTGTTGACAAGTGTACTGAATCAAAACAGTAAACTTGCGAATCGAGTTTAATCACACTTAAACACCCCATAGAGCTGAGAGGATTTGCAGAATTGGGATATAAATCGATGAGGTTTTGTAACTACTTTGAACCACGGAGACCCCCCACCCACAACCCACAACCTGATCTATTGCCAACATCCTGGTTCCAGACACTTCTGGAAGTCCGGTGTCCGTGCACCAGCAGGTCAGAGATGTTTTGGTAACACATGGGGGACATAAACAATATTAGGCAGGCCATTTAGTTTGGAAAGTAGAACTATTAGTTAGTAAAGCTTTACCTTATGTACAGAAAATAATCTGTGACACATAATTAAAGTGTTTCCCAAAAACTAAACATACAGTACAATACCTCACTACACAACAAATTGCAAAAATAAGATCTACCCAAAAGGGCAAGGCAGATGGCCGTCCCTCCCTGAGCCTGGTTCTGTCGGAGGTTTTTTTTCCCCTGCAACCCCCGCAGGGGAAAAAAAACATTCATTCATTCCCACTGTTGCGGACTGCTGAAGCTTATAGGGAATCCAAATGTTTTGGATTGTTGGGTGTTTCTGTCTCTGCCTTTGTTAAGCGCTATGAGATGACTTGTTGTTGTAAATATGCGCTATACAAATAAAATTGAATTGAATTGAATTGAACAAATTGCAAAAATAAGATGAGAGAAACTGAAATCGGAAGGATGCTACAAAAACATCCAGCTTAAATATGTGTAAACATTATAATTAGCAGGTCCTTAAGGCAGGGTGAGGCTGGCTTCAGTGTAACATGACACCTATGAAGGCAGTGGTGTGAAACCAGAGGGGAACTTCTGGAATCAAAATACTGTGATGTGAAACTAACATATTAACTCTGAGCAGCTGTAATCAACATAGAACCTCCGTCAAAAACCACAGACTGGCTGACCTTTGATTGAAGTCATATTGTTCAAGCTTCTAATGAGACTATGAGAGAAGCACAAAACTGATAAAAGTGATCGGCACTTACTCCCTTTGAATATTAACGACAATCGTAAGAGGACAGACAGGGAGAAAAGGGTGAAGATTAAAGCGAGGACCAATTAAAAGCCTGTTTGAAATGAGAAAAGGGACTGGAGGTATCTGCGGCGCGTGTTCATGCACAGGTGGCAAAAGCACATGAACACAGACACACACTTCCTCTGTTGTGCTGGGAGCCAGTGATGAGATTTAACTAGAGGAGACACATCCAGAGAGGAGTGGTAACACGCAGCAGACAGATCAAACCGGACAACTGAGCGCACACACAACGAAAGCAGGACAGAGTGTGACCAACAGGGCTTACTGGGAATGACAGAATTACAGACTGGAAGAAAGGGGATTAAACAGAGCAGGCAGCGCACAATGGCTGACAACACAACACACACAACACACGGGATGTGGGCAGAAAAACAAGCCCTCAGAGGAATGGGTGCAACAGTTATGTGCCCCGTTGCAGTGTCCTGAAGCAAGACACCGCACCTCCAAAGCTGCTGGGCCAACAAAAATTAATTTGCTCTGACATCTACACCTGGAGTTGGCAGCTACGCAGTTTGACTCCATGTATAAATAATCATTTACAAGTCCAGGCACACTAAACGAAATGAATACTGAACTAAGTGATCACACTGAGCCTCTCTATGAAACAGACACACCCACCCACACCGAGAACCACAAGCGAACAGTGAGCTGCTGAATTCTGAGCTTCGGTTTTGCACAGCTATTGCATCAGATACTGTGGAGGACAGAGGAGAGAGAGAGTAGGAATCTGATGTTATCTACTAACAACGCTAGCCACCAAAAAAAAACAAAAAATAAATGTTGGTTTGGATGGTTGGATGTATGCGCCTACATGCTGTATGTTTATTCAGTTCTGCAATTTATACATGGAGATTACTCTGACTGATGTATTCTGCCACTAGCCTATATTAGATTACTATGAAATAATACTACAGTTGTTAGGCTGTTGTGCTCTTTTGTGTTGTTGTTATGGCTGTGTTCAGATAAGGCTATTAGTGTGGTTGCGAGGCTGCATGCAACACCATTTTGGCACCCGTATATACGGGTTGCGGGCTGAAAGGTTTGGGAATCCCTGCTTTTAAAACCCTGATTTTCAAAAACTGAATATGAAAACAAGGAATGACGACATCTTCAGCAACTTAAAGATTTATATTTACTCATAAAATGAAATGTTGCGTGTCTAGAATTTGAATTATATATTTTTTTAAAAGTTCTTTTCTTCTGGTTTTCTGTTCCATTTGTATCTCAGTTCATTCAGGAAAGTTATATGACTCAAGTCTTATACAGCTTTTTATTGTCCTACAGTATAATCAGGTCATCAGATCAACTCCATCGATGGTCTTTTACAAACTCTAAACATAGAGACTGTGATTCTTGATAAAGACTCTTCATATTTAGCTTGTTGTGTGGTTCAGTCAGAGCCTTAAACTGTACATAACAGCACAGCGACCATGAGGTCACCCACTGGTTTGTGAACTGTTTTGAAGCCTTCAGTTTGAAATTTTGCCATTGCCATCTCGCTCCTTTGAAACCAGTCGTCATGATCTCACTGAGAACTCAAGGACACCACATAAACCAATACTGTCAATCACAACATCGTACCACCCTAAAACATCACCTGTCATATTGTCTGTTCTCTCTAAATGGGACCATAAATTTAAAAAAAGTTGTAAGGAGACATGAAAATAGCAACTGAGATCATAAATTTACTAAGAAAATAGTTCCTAAGTTAACAAAACAAGGGGCAAGTACAGTAAACTTCTATTCATGAGATTTCCTTTTGAAACCAGATGAGTCGCCCCCTGTTGACTGTAAAAAAGAATGCATCCTTCATATACAGTCAATGTTCCAAGTCACTTTGTTTGCTTCCCATTCAAAGAGCAAATGCTGTATATGAAAAACATTTTTTTTTTCTTTTTTCAGGACTCACGGTGACAGCTACTGGAGTGTGAGGAGATATTCACCAGGCACTGGGTGCTTTTCTCTTGATCTGCTACTGTTAACAAGCTATTTCTATACATTTGTTAATTGACATCCTGTTGCATCTCCTCGCTGTCTTTTCAAAAAGGAAGCTCAAAGGATCAGGGATTTCCTGTTTGGTAAATGCAGCTCCTCTGTCCTGGTGTCCCTTCCTTGGATCTCTTTCTATCAGCTCAGCTAAAAGGAGCTGAGATGCTAGGAAGGGACACAAGTAGAGGAAGCGAGGACACATCCAAATGGAATGGCACACATCATGGTTACCATGGTCACTATGTCAGTTTAACATAAGCACCAAGTGCAGCTGAGGTTAAATGTCATCAATTTTACAAGAATTTGGTCATAAACCAAAGCATTTAAAAAATTTAAATTGTGACCTGATGGTGGCAATGGTGGAGGTATTGTCTGTAATTCACAAATATGAAAAGGTTGTCGCTGTCAAGCATCCATAAAAACAAGCAGAGAAAACGAAGCCAATGGAAAAATAGGTCCCGAACTATTTTTTGTGTAATCTGTTCTAAAAAAACAAGTGATTATGACCTTACAAATGAAAGTTATTTGGTGTAAAATAAAAAAAAAAAAAATTTAAATGTACAATCCCGAAGCAATAAATATATGAATGTTTTTAATAAGATTTCCCTGCAACAAAGTTCAGCATTACTAAGGACAAACACACAAAACCAGGGTACCTGCCATTGGGTTTTCGGGTCAAGGCAGGAGGAGGAAAGAACACATACCAGCCTTGAATAAGATGAGACCAGACCTGTTGGTGCACGTCCCCTCTGGGAATATCATGATCTGGAACAGACAAACACACACAAACAAACGCATTTGACTTCCAGTCCCTGTTTTAGCCTGGCCTTCACCCGAGTGTGTCACCCACTTTGCTCATGCTATCACCTTTCAGTTGTAGTGTGGTGTAAGCTGAGGTTGTGTGTCTGTGTGTGTGTGTCTTTATGTGCACATTCGCATACTTTACCTGAGGCCACTTCCCTCCTGACTGAGCTCTCCGCTTGATCTCCTCTACAGTTTTTCTTCTTGAGTCCTGGTCTGACCGAAACACAAACACTGGCCTGATGTAGCTGATCAAAGCTGTGAGGGCGATGACGCACAGACGGATGTTGGATGTAAGCCAAAACAAAAAAGGAAACAAAAGAAATTTAATTTTTAACTACAAGAAAATCAATTAACTTATTAATTGATCTTGTGCACATTAAGCCAACATTAAACTAATGCCTTGGGAATCAGATCAGGGTTATTCTGTGTTTTGAAGTATAGTCAGACATTAAATGACTGTTTGAATCTATTTATTTAATATATTACAGTACTTGAGAAATTCAACGCTGTAATATTTATATGTAGACCAAATTTCATTTTACAGCCTGACAACGTATACACAGCACTTTACATTTGCTGTATGTTATTTTGGAACATAACTGCATAACTGCTTTTTATCAGGGAATGTAGTATAGTATATCACTCACTGCCCCAGACTGGAATGCTCCTGCTCTCCAGTTTGGTGACTATGGAGCACATGGTCATGGTGACTGGGATGGCATCAAAGTAGGCAGAATGTGGAGCCACCGTGAGGATGGGAGCTTCAGAGGGGGCTGCTCGTTCCCCTTTCACTTTGATCCAGTGAAAACCTCCACAAAACCACATGGCTCGCATGATCACTCGTAGAGACAGGTCTATAAACCTGGCAAGGAACACAGACACGCTGTTGTAAATTTATCAGCAATCCCTGTGTCTTAGCTTTCTAAAATGTTAAGATCATAGACTGTATAAAAGATGGACGTAGCAACCGGCCCCGAAAAATGAAGCCAACCCGGAAGTGTCAAAAACCTGCAGTATCACTAGACAGACAGACATCCAGATCTATACAGAGAATTCAAGCTGAGAGAGTCTCAGTTGTTACTTTAAATGAACAGAATCACAATGTTCACATCCTCACATGTTAACGACTCTT